TATTTTCTTCATTACCAGTATTTTAAACACAGCAGGATATGTTTTCTTCAGTAGAGAGATTGGGAAAAAAAAAAAAAAAAAGGAGCACTTGAATTTTGAAGACCTGGAAGAGATTTCTGGAGGCATTATGTGCAGCAAAAATGCCATTTGCAGCAGATCTGTCTCCTGACTTCTGTGAAAATGAACTTTCTACCTGAGATTTTCTTCTTCCTCTAATACATTTTTCTTCCCCTGTAACAGTGATGTCATGTACCTGGCACCAGAGCTCTGAGTCCTGAGTCCCCTGGTCTTATGGGTGAAGCAATCCACAGCCAAGTCCACCCTGCTGTTTCTTGCCCTCATATAGAAAAATGCCACATCTCTCAGCAGTCACTCAGGTTCACTCACTGGTCACTTCTACAGCTGATCTCTTTCCAACCACTTCACTTCTTCATTCCCTGCTCACTCCCCACTGTGAGCTGACATACTATCAGTCAAATAATTCCTTGCACCATTAAACGCCTGTCAGTTTACATATTCCTTATTCAGTAGCTACAGCAAATGAAAAGCTTAGTCTCTGGTTCTTCCTATACATAATACCCTCTTTTTGCAGCAAAAAGTTTTCATGCCTTTCCCTTTCACTACTGATCAACATGACTATATATCCCACATGCATTGATCCCTTTTCTCCTGTGAATGATTACTCTTCTGAATTTGTTCAGGTAAGTTCCTAATTAATAGGACTATGCTATCAAGAGTTTAATTTGGGATGTTATTTTATCACAGTATGTACCCATGGAAAAGGGTGAGCATTAGGTTTTCTTATTTTCTTAGTCTCATACAAAGACACTGGGGCTTAAGGCATTCCCAGCACTAAGGCTGGAACACAGGAGAGATGGGATGCAACACTGGTGTCAGGTCACGTAACCCTGTGCAGGAGGCACATTGCCCAGTATGCAGTGGTGTGTGTACAGCTTGTCCCCAGCGTTTCCCACATCCCCTGACATGCTGACCAAACGTGGTCATCTTTTGCCCAGGAATGTTTATATATCCCCCCTTCTCTCGTCCTCTTCTTGGCTGGCCTGAAGACACGTCTCAATCACAAGGGCTCCCTCATCATGCTCTCATACCTAGGAATGCTTTCAAGGGGGTGGAGGTTTATTTTTCACAGTGGTTTTCCTTTTCAGTATCTGCCTTTTCTGTCTCTATGCCAGGCTAGCGGTGAACATTTTGAGGAGTTCCCAGAGGGAACTTTTAGGAAATTGCTTATTCTATTTGTAGAAGTCCTTAGCGTTTATAAAACTTCCATATGCAATCTTGTTGTCATGTCTCTGTCAGAATACTCCCACTGTGTAAAGAGATTGTTTTTCTTTCTCTTTCTCTCTTCCTCCTCCTTCCCCAAGGGTTTCCTGTTTTAGCCCTTGTGAATCTATTTGCACTCTTGTGCCCTTTCCTCATCCTTACTTAGTGCCTCCCACTTTATACAGCTACTGAAATAATTGTGGGTGTTTTAACTGTTGAAAGAACTGTTCTTAAACTCATTTGTCAATTGATCAGTAAGTCATCAGTCAGAGATTAGTGCTGGCAACAAGTACACTCATAATGTAAAAAGTACACTTGCTTCATGTAAATTGATTGAGATTTTAGACTACGCATACCTTATGCTGGTGTGATGAAACCTCTCCAGTGTTCAAGTAGAAGCCCAAGATAAAAATGTTGCATGTTTATACAATGCATTCAATTTGTCAACGTCTTAGGATGCAGCAGCAAAACAAAATTTATTCCTATTCATGGAGTCTGTACACATTATCAAAGACACTGATTCTTATAAGAGACAGAAAGAACAGTGATATTTTTATACAGGTGTGGAATGTCAGCTCTTGGAATTATGGTATTGGGATTAAGTAGGCATTTTAGTTTCCAGTTTGCTTCTGCTGGGGTATTAGTAACAGAAGCCAAGAACGTATTCGTCTTGGAGGCTAGCTTACACTACCAGCTGAAATCAGGACTTCAAAGGCCAAATAGCAGAGATGTCTGGTAACAGAAGAACCTGAAAGTCCATACAGCCCTCTGAGCAGCAGAGTGACAGTCGAGCTTAGCCTGACCTCAGACTTGCGCTCTGCCTATGTACAAAATAACACCTGAACAGAGTGCCATTAGCTGAAGGTACATCTTGTGGGAAAACAAAAAGTACCGATTTACATTTGCAGTGAAAAAAAGAGAAGTCTTAAACCATGGTGTTGTGCAATGAAAACAGACAGCTGGATTCCACTTTCAGTGTGGTAGTGTTTGGACATGAGATATGCTTCCTTTTCTCATAATTCACTTATTACAACTGTTACTGAAAATTCCTTGTTATTACAGCCACAGCACAAACAGGCCCATTTTTTTTTTTCTATTTTAAACATAATAATACGAGATCTGCTTAGGCTGTAATTGCTGTTGCAGAAGTAGCAGGCTGCAATATTTCAGACTCCTGAACAAAGCTGACTATTGTATCCCATGTATGGACCCAAAAAAACTTCTGGATTTTTACCTTCTCTCGTTTTTCCCACTTGAGTTTTTGTTTGTTTTGTTTGTTTGTTTATTTTGTTTGTTTGTCTTGTTTGTTGTCATGGTTTTGCTCTGGGTCTATTTGCTCTCACCCCCCAACACAATTATTATTAGTTGAGAGAAGGTTTATGCAGACGAAAGAGACTGGATTTGGGGAAAATAATATGAACATTTATCACTAGCAGGTTAAAACTAAAGAATTACATCTACAATAATTCTATTTAAGTAAAAGTACTATGTATTTACAGAAATACTTCTCCCCCCTTTATATCAGTCCAAGGAGGAGAAGCAGCCCCTTTCTCCATTTCCTGGAGCTCCAGGTCTCTTCAGTAACTCTGCAGCACTCTCGTTGCAGCTGGAACTCTTTCTCTTTCTCTCTTGCTCTGTGTTATCCTCCAGGGCTGGGCCTACCCCCCTCCTGGGCTAAGACCAGAGGCTGGGGGTTACCCAGGCCCTGAAGGTCTTCTCTTCCATGGACTTGCAAGGGGACACTTGCCTACCATGGATCTTCTTCCACGGGGTTACAGGGGATAATGGTTTATGAGTTCACCCCTGTTTCCCTATGGAGGTCCCTCCCCACGGGAGAACAGTCCTTGATAGACCTCTCTGGCATGGGTCTAGCATGGATCCCACACATGGATCCCAACATCCCTACCTGAGCCGTTTTTCGCTCCAGCGTAAGGCTCGTCTCTCAAGGTCACAAATCTTCAGTAGCAGATCTTTCACTGAGATCCCAAGCTTACCCAAGCTGTCTTCTCCAGTGTAAGCCTCATCCCTTCTAGGGTCACAAATCTTCAACAGGACTCTGCCTTATCTCAGTCCTTTTCATGAAGTCTCAGCGTCCTCATGTAGCTTACTCCAGTGTAGGCTCCTCCATGAGCAACATGGTGGTCTTCTCACCCCAACAAACTTTCACAGGTAGCAGGGTTTTATTTTTCAGTCTTTTCCCTGCTGAAGGGAGAGAGCAAAAGGGGGGAGTAACAGCCCCCCCTTCTAACTTCTCTCTCCTGCTGTAGCTCTGGCCTTGAACATTTCGTTATCTCTTTGCTGGAATTCTTTTGCAGCGGTTTCTGTCCAAGTAGTCAGTCCTTCTCTAAAGTTTTTTTTCTTCACTCTCTTATATGAGAGAAGGGGAGCTTCACTGCCACACCCACCCCTGGCCCAGGGCTGGGGGAGGAGGGGCCTTGGCCCACCTCGGGGCCCACCGCCACCTCTCCTGCATGGCTGCTGCTCCTAATTTCAACTCCACAATCAACCTTCTCTTCTGTTTTTCTTAAATATGTAATTAGCAAAGGCGTCACTAAGAGTTTTGATTGGCTTTTTGTCCGGAAATCCACCTGGACAAAACCATCCTCAGCCCTAGGGGCTGGCTGTTGGGCAAAACCACGACATTTGTTTAACTATACATCTTAATGTATCTATTGGTCATCAGAATTTACACCTCTCTATATACAGGATCCATGAAAGAATTCTGGGAGAGTCACTAAATTATCTCTTGGTTTATAACACTAATCTAGCTTTCCTGCACAAAAGATCTCTAATATTTTATTTCCTCCAGCTTCTGAGATGCAGTAATTTCAGCACGTAGGTTACCAAATACTCCTTTGAAACTTCTCTAACTCCTCTGTCTTTAGGAGCCATGACAACTGCTTCCTTCAGAATTAGGCATTGTACCTTTAGAGGTTCATCCTTCTGTTGCCTTCCTCAAAGGGATGTCCAGTCTGCCCTGCCTTTGCAATAGGTTTGCTGTTGACTCTCTCTCTTTCAGCCACAGCATTTAGTTTACAGCTCTTGTGTTGCCCAGTCCACATGCAAACTGTGTCACAATGAAATAGAGCTTCTTGTAGCCAGAACAAGGAAGAGGAGAGACCTGAATATCCTCTCTGGGGCTGTTGCTGTCCTGATGTGAGCCCTAAGGAAGGGTATGTGAAGTCATTCTTAAACAGACTAAAAAGAAAAATCTGACCTGATCTTCTTTCAAGGGAAAGCATTAGAGGAATAATAAAACAGAAAGGGATGAAAATACTTCATATTAATTTCAAAGAAAGTAATAGATCTAGCTCTTCCCCATTAATGATTCTAGTCAAACTTACCTGAAAGCAGGAATTAGGAGGTTTATTTTTTTGGAAAAAAAATATTTTATTCAAGACTTTCTGAATGGAAGGTATTGTACGGCTGGCTCAGTTCCAATTGCAAGACATTTAATGATGTGTCACTGGGATTTCACTATGGGCTGGGGTAGTATACTGAACTGCAGGTGTAGCATCTGATGGGTTTGATGTACATGAGACAGTAAGACTCACTCAGGACTGTGATGCTCTTGGCAGGCTCCATAAATTTACTCATGAACCATAACTTCACTTTTTTTTCGTGTCCCACCACAGGATCAAAGCTCAATTATTCTTCCAAGTTTCCCCTTTTCCAAATCACATAATTGCTGATGTTTTATATGCTTAACTGTTTTTTAGGAGGAAAGTTCTTCCAGTAGTGGAACAGATTCTCTAACCAGTGGAGAGATTCCACGAAGCAGGTCAGAGGGGACTTTGCTTGATGTAGATGACCGGATACCTTCAGACAGCTACAGTATGTGTCTTTTGCAATTTTCTGTACTAAGGCCCTCCATTTAAAGTCTTCACTTCTGGAAAATCTCTGGGACAGGCTGGTTGGGAGGAAGAGTTGAAATGTTTAAGCTTACATTAACAAGTGCTGTTTAGGGTAAGAGAAGGGAAAGAGAAGAGGGAGTTCTTAGCCAAACCCTTTGCCAAATTTAGGGTTTTAAGATTCAGGACAGCAAGGTCATTTTTAATTTGAAAACTGGAGCAAAGTTAATTTCATCTCATTGATATTTTAACACCAAAGTTAAGAAAACTTTTCCCTGCACAGGGTAGACATCCTTTTAGCAACTTGTCCAAGTAGCAGATGTAACAGTGAGCTTGAAACTTGCTGTGTGAGTTCTGGAGCAGGAATTTTTTCCTCACTAATCTACTGCACCTCAGTAATTTGTGCTGTTACCTTTGCATGAGAAAGTGACTCAGGCTCTGCCAGAGTTTAAGAAACATGCCCTTTAGGATGGATGGAAAACAACAACAAACCAAAAAAACCCCACCTTTTGTTATTTTTGGGCTTAAATAATTTATTTTTTAATAGACAAAAATGATCTGACTGTAATATGATGAACGTTGAAGGTGGATAGGGAGGGGGAACCCCAAGCAGGAGGCTTTTCCCTTTACCCCTAGCTCCAAGGGGGAGCAGTGCTGCCTTCCCATACCACCCCCCCGACCTCGCAACATCTCATGGCCCCCATAGAGAGCACAGGACACCAGCAGCAGGCAGGGCGAGCATGCAGAGAGCCTTTATTGTTCTAGGTCACTGCTTAAATAGCTCTTGGGGGGGATTACAGAGTGACCATTGGGAGACCAGGAGGTATTACAAACCAACCAATGATAACAAAGGGTTAACAACCAAGAAGGAGACTTTCAGGTATCTCTCAGGACATTCCAAAGTAGAGATAAAGACTGAGAATCCTGGGAAGAAGAAGGTGAGTTTGCACAAGTTACAAAAGCCATTTTGGAAGCATGTTCACTTTAAACAACATTACAATTTCTACATCTTTTGTATATTGCAAAGTTACCCCAACAGTAATAGCATCACAGCACAAGGAAAGCTTCAGCTGGTGCTTGAGCAGCTCAGCCCCATCTGGTGACTCTGGTCAAGACTAGGCACTCAAGCAGAAAGAGGCTGCTCCCTGGACTTAATTCCCCAGGCAGCTCACCTGGAAGGCTCTTGTTAAGACAGTGTTAGAGCTTTGCAGATAGGCAGCTGGGAAGCAGGCACATTCTACTTTGGTTCTTCCAAATTGTGAAATTTTCTGGAACTGTGGAAAAGCTTCATGATTTTGGCTTTTTATCACAATTTGATAAATGAAACAAAAAGGAAAGCACTAACATCTAATTTTTTTCTTTTTGTGGTAGTATCCACTGTCATTTTTGCAATTGAGAAATCATAAGTAACCTTGGAAATGGGAGGTACTGTGGAAAGAGTGATAAAGAAAGCTACTGATGTGCTGAAAAAATAGACATAATTAATTTCTCTAAAAATTTCAACTCTTTACAAGGATGTATAAATAAGGGATGGTATAAACTCTATATGTAGAAAAAATAATGGCAAACTGAAATAATAGAAACTCTTACCATAAGAAGCTACAAATACTCTATTCATTGCAAGAAGTGAGTCTAAATTAATCTGTAAACCAGTTTTTCTCTGAAAAACTTTTTGCATAAAATATAAGGATGTCTGTTCTTCAGAACAAATAAATATTACTATTAATAATGAGTATTTTTATTAGAAAACTATTTAAATATCTCTTTTAAACCTATCAAAATTCAATTTCAGAAAAATCAGTAGCTGTACAAACATTTATCTCCAAATTTCAAATTGCGCAAGACCTCATAAATTATATAAATGATTTTTTTCTAATGGAAAGCTAGTATAACAAATTCCACGCACAGAGGGAAATTGTACATGTTCTGTTATCAACTAAATGCATGTGCACTAGCATGAAAAGGAATCTTGAATAATGCATTTATCCCTACAGTGTTTAAAAAAATGAAACAGTATTTCTTTAATCTTTGCAAAGAGTTGGACACAAAGGAAAGAAATCCATGTAATTTTGTAAGAGGCCAAATATTACTCGAATATAATGATTTGAACCTTATGGAACCTTATCATATTCAATGCCAATTAAGAATCGTAGGATTGGATAATGATCAGCACATTAAAGAAGATGCTTTACACCCTTCAAAACTAATCTGTTATTCACCACTAATTTGTTGGAACTCTTCTATTAAGAAAGATTCTTAATTAAATAAATATTGATACTATTTAAAAACCTGAAGAAAAAGTATAGAAATTTTCTATATGTATTTCAGGAGGATAAAATTAGTCACCTCTTAGTTTAACAGACTATTAGTTGAACATGAATGGAAGGTCTCAAGTCTCAGTCCTTTAGGAGATGCTTCTCTTTTTTTCTTTTAAACAGATGCCAATGAAAGTAAACTGGATTTGGATATTGACTGGTCTGGTGTGTTCAAACATGCCCAAACTGTTTCCAAGACTAATCCTTTCTGGAATGAACTATCAGGCTCCAACCCTTTCATACATGACATAGCTGCTTCAACCAGAAAGGAAAACAATAAATGCCTTTCTATCTTAAAAGAAAAACCTTATTTTTTCTCTAAAGTTTCTAGCAATAGGGACTCTTTGGATTCCTCAGGTGATGAGCTAGATATTGATTGTCTCCTAAGAAAAACTTCAGCAAGAAGATCTGGACGATCCAAGAGCATCTCTGACTTCCTGGATATTGTTGATAACCAAAGATTTAATCCTCACAAGACAGCACCTCAAAAAACTACAGCTGCAGACATGACATGGTTTCAAAACGACCGCGAAGCCTACAGGATGGCCTGGTTGAGTCACCGACAACTCACCCGGTCTTGCCTAGATTTAGAAGCCATGAGCCACAGTCCTGGATGGGCACAAACACAAGCTACAGACATCCAGGTAGTTTGTAGACTGAATCATGAAGGGGGTTCAGTACAACTACCTGACTCAGATATCAACATTCATGTCCCTGTGGGTCATGTATTACCAGGGGAATTCCAAGAAGTTGGTTTAAAGGCTATCCTTAACCCTCCGTTGTCATGTAACAATGAGCTGTCTAGCACCATAAGTCCTTTGATAGAACTTACGCTGAGCAACCTCAACACAAGCAAAGCCATTTTCCTAGAGGTGAAAGTTGCAGCTAAAGTGAAGAATGATCCACTCAGCCAAGTTATGAGTGATATTGTGTGTTTGTTCAGTCTGAATAAAGAAGGGCCTTTTAAGAAGCTAGAGAATTGCTACATTTATCAGGATACCATACAAGTGAAACTAACAGACCTAAGTCATGTGATGTATGCGGTGATTGCTATACAAGCAAGCAAAATCCAGCCTCCAGCAACTAATGTCTGGGACTATGTTCATAGAACAGTCTCAGTTGGAATTTATGGTCCAAAATATATTCATCCATCTTTTACAGCAGTTTTTACAGTCTTTGGTCATAACTACATTCCAGGAAAACTCACAATTTTTAATATAAAAAAAGGGGGGAAAAATATGCCTCCTGTGGTGTTTCAGCTGTGGGGAAAACATACTTTTCTGCTTGAAAAACCACAGGATCTAAAAATTTCTTTAGTATCCTGTGATCCAGATTTTGAAGTAAAGATGGAAGACCAAAGTAAAAATATTAAAGAGGAAGAGTTGAAAACTGGTGAAATGGTCCACCAACAATTCCCATTCTCCCTGCTTGGATGTAGGGAGATGCATTTCTTTGTTTTTGTTGTTCAGATTAAAGTCTTAAAAAGTAACCAAGTAACACAGTTCCATGTTACAACTCCCGATCCAGCTCCAAAATTAAATGGAATTACCAATAGGCCAAAGCGCCTACAAAACCGCAAGGAAATCAAATCTGCACCTTGGCTTTTGATACCAACAGTAAAATATCCAAAGTTTCAAGATAAAGCTTTGAACGTTAATACTTATGGAGTGGCTTTGAAAACCGTGTTACGTCAAAATAAGATTGACCATTTGCTGGAATATTTTAAAGGGGATACAATAGCACTTCTTGGTGAAGATAAAGTGAAAGCCATTGGACAAACTAAAATAAAAGAGTGGTATGTAGGAGTTCTCAGAAGAAAGATTGGCCTTGTACATTGCAAGAACATAAAAGTGATTTCCAAAGAACAAGCTATGGACACTGCTGATAGTGAGCTAACAACCAGGAATCTTGTTGAACAAATTGCATTGCCATTCAAAAAGCTGACTTACATCTACTCAGTAGTTCTGTCAACAGTATCAGAGAGTGTTTATGACTGGAGAGCTTTAGCTGAGGTGCTAGGATACTCACATATGTCTTTGGATGACTTTAATGAAGCACATGTTGATAAAGAATCAGAAAGAGTTGCGCACGTTGTGAAGAGGATGAAACAAGACTGTCATGCTAACAAAAAAAAGAGACTATTTCTTTATGAACTCATTGTTGTAAGTATTGCATTAACTAACTTGCTTATTGGGAATGCGTTGCCAAGAAACTGCTCAGTAGTAATGGATGAACAAGAAAACATGATTCTGCATTCTTGCAGGAATTTTTACAAACCTGAATGATATTACTAAAAGTTGTAGACACCTGTAGACAGAAAATATATCCAGATTCTCATGAAGAATAATACTTTAGACAATTAATTTTAAAAAGTCTTCTGATAATGTTCCAGGAACCTTGCTCATTTTGTAGGTTGACTGATTTGACCTTTTTGCTTTTTAAACAGCCATGATTGAAAAATTTTGTCTTTTGTTATGGTATATCGCTTCCCTGAGCAATTCACGTTCCTGTTGGGAAGTATTAAGTAACTTTATAGTGTGGAAACTCCATTATATATATGTTTTTCTATGCTAAGGTGTGTGTCTAACTTAACTTCATATGTTTAAAATTGAAATCCTGATTCACATGTTGAATCGTGGATTTTTTACCCACATATGACAGCTTCATAGTCAATGATGTAACAGCCTAAGAACAATATTGCAAAATATTTGAGTATGTATTTTCATGGGTCTAATTTGTGAGCCACTGGACAACTAAATGCTCTTATATGTGAATTAAAAGTGGGTTTATTCTAAATGCTTCCAGGTAATAAGTTGCACTCATAACCATCCTAGTTTACTTACTGATCTGTGTTCAAATTAATTTGGAATTGGTGACTACTTAATACTGTCTTTGTCTCTGACTGAAAAGTCAACCAGCCTGTTAAGGAACAGAAGATAATTAAATTTCTGATATGAAAAGGAAGTATTATAAAAATGGATGTTTAAAAATTCACATTGTAGCAATGCATCTAAAGCCTTTTGATTATCCTGAATTGTAAATCTTAACAGAGTTTACTTCTCATAACTAGTCTATCCCCTGTGTTGACAGTAATTTCAGCAAGATTCAGAAAATTTTGGTAGCAGTGGCCATTTAAAACTCTTAAAAGCACATTAAACTGTGTGGAATAGAACTTAGCCAGTATGAAGTACAGCAAAGTCTGCCATATCTCTTTACAAAATGGAGAGGGGAATCTAAAGGTGAAAATTATCCAAACTTTTAATTGAATACAGGGAAACAGAGTTCATTACAGAATAGGCAAAAAGTGGGGAACAATTAGATTAAGATAGAATCATATAATGGTTTGCATTGGAATGGACTTAAAGATCATCTCTTTCCAACACCCCTGGCATGGACAGGGACAACTTTCAGTAGACTGGGATACTCAATGTCCTGTTTTGTGAGATTTATGTAATTTTGAGCTGTGAAGTTCCAATGAAGGTACCTGTCCTTGCAAAGCTAGACTTAAAACTAGAAATAATTTGTGTAATTTTTGGGTAGAATTTACTATTTACTTATTTTAAGTAATCTCCCATTTTTATGTTTTATAGTGTTTTTGCTAATCAGAACATAGCAAATTGAGCATCTTTGTCTTCACTTCACCAAAATATAGGGGAATTTGGTACAATACACTGTAGTCAGCTACTCATTACTGTGCCTACCAAAGTTCTATTGTTTGCTATGAGGATTTTTATGGTAAAATATTTTTCAGTTAAATCACACACTGATTTCTGCAGAAATGCTTGATATTTCAGTAAAAATCAGTATCTCAAAAACAAGGAAAATGTCTGGATTTTTTTCTTGATCTTTCACTGAAAAACTCGGACTTTTCAGTGGAATATTTAGCTGTTAATTTGAGGAGAAGAAAAAAAACACTTATTTTTCTCATTAGGGCTTATCCAAAGAAAGAAGGAAAGGAGAATGCAACATATCTGCACTTCAGGGTTTCGCTCCTGCAACCATTTTATTTGTCATCAAATTTTGTCATTAAATGCTCATTTGGCACAGGGGAGGGAAGAGTTTTATGCTTGCATTTCTGCTTGGTCGTCATCAAATTATTAGTTCTGTGGGAGGAGTAACTGAAAAGGTGCTGGCCAATGTGATCAGTGATTTTCCGAAAAAGCTGTAGACAAAGGACGACACCTGAGTATAAAAGTGTTCTAACTTAATTTAAAAGTTTCATGTTATACTTCTAAAAAGCTAAATTTGATGTCCCAAATATTCTTGTTGGAGAAGTTTATTTTTCCTTCAGGATCCATAAGCTTGGCAGGATCCATTTGGCACTGGAATGCTGAAGCAGCTGAATGCCAGCTTAATTTTTTTCTTAAGCTTGTGGGCAGTTTTCCTGTGAAACTGTCGGCAACCCCATTGCATGGAAAAAATTTTACATATTCGTAAGAACACAAAATTAAAAAAAAAAAAGGAACACTTTGCTGTCTGTGTATAGCAGAATAGTGCTAAAAAGCAAATTAAAATGTTCTGTTTGTAATTACTGGTGAAGGATCACTAATGAAAACTGTTGTTGCAGGCACTTTTGAAAATAGATTGCCAGGGGTTAGTGGCACGTCTTACCCAGGACACCATCATTTTGACTTCAGCTGTCAAGCTTGGCAAAAACTGGCGGGAGCTTGCAGAGAAGCTAGCCCGACTCACAAAGCAGCAAATAGAGGCTTATGAAGTGCCCCACCAAGGGAAGAATGGAGCAGTAGCTCTGGAGGTAAGGGTCTGGTGTAACAGTGCATGCACACTTGCTCCTTTGCACAAATACAGCCAGGGACCTTTCTTCTTCCTTGCTTTGAGCACTTCTTTCCTTTTACACTTTCCTGTGGAGGTCCCATCTCTTGTCTTGAGCTTCAGGGCCACTTTCAGTCCCTTCTTATTGTCCTGTCCACTTGTTAACCTTACTTACTCCTCTGCTATCAGCTCAGACACAGTGAAGAAGAGCATTCAGTCATTGCAGGAGCCACTTCAAATCATCCTCTGTACAACTTTTGCTCCTTTCCAACAAAAGGAAGCTGACCTCCATCATTAATACTTTTCTGTACCAGTGAAATAATTGACATCATTTACCTTAAGTAGCATGAGAAGACATCAGAAACTCTGACACCAATTCCAATTCTGTTCTGCAGTATGAACATGGCAAATCTATTCTTTGAGTTCATAATTTGCCAGTTAAGTCATGCTATTTATTTTCCTTTATAAAGTACTCTTCGTATAGTGAATTCTAAAGAAAAGAAAAAGTTCTAAAGAAAAATTTGTCCTTTCATATGTATTTTAGTGCATACACATCTAAGGAGCAATTAATGTCTAATGTCATTTGAGGTGCCCAGAGGAACTCATGGCATCCATGAAATGCCAGGTATGTCACAAGATGGGGTGGATCCTTGTGCACACTGCTGAGCCGAAGGTCAGCCTTCCTTATTTGGTCACTGTAGCTGATTCTTCCTGTTTCCCACCAAACATATTCTCCTGTACACAGTCTGAGTCTAGTGAATCTGTCATCTCAGTTTTATCTGCCTGGTGATAACTATCTAGATATTTCTGCTCTAGTCATTAACCACCACCTCTTATTCCCTTTCAGTGCTCTACCCTACCTCCCTGATCAATATGGGATCAAAATTCCACGTTTACTCTTGTGATTTTCTACAAAATTATCTCCATTATTGTTGTTTGCAACCACCACCTCCTTGTCTGATCTTGCTTTTCTGTTAGGGCTATTTTCTGCATTTTTTTTTACTTGTTCTGGGTACTTGTGTTTGGATGCTCCTTCCTCAAATTTTTTCTCTTAAAATTCTCTCATCTTAGCAATCCAATGGCTAGTCTCTCTTTTTTAATAGGGAAAAAAAATCCTGTTATTTTCTTAGCTTTTGCATTGTCTTAATCTAAAATACTCAAATCAAACAGAGTGATTGTCATTTCCATTATCCTTTTTTTTTTTACTGTTAGGCAGTGCCTTGTCTAACTTCAGAGACTTTTGTTCCACTAAGATTTCTGTGTTTGGCTGACAAAGCACCAGCTTTTTCAGAAGGAATTATGGACCTGAACAATGTGTGACTCTGTTGGTCTCCATGTTATTTGGAAATGTTTCTACTTTGCTAACAGACAGCATAACTAAAACAATCTTAAAACTCTTTTTCCAGCACCATACTTATTTATTTTTATATGTTAAGAAAATATATAAAATATATATAAACACTTTGCTTTAAATGGGTTTCTCTTTTCCATGAAGCCCATCTTCTACCTCATACACCCTATTCTTTTGTTTTAAATAGTTTTTTTCATATTTTTATTACAAACCACCCACAAAATTCTCTGCCTTTCAGTGACAGTATCTGCTGCCAAAAGATAGTACAGTCAAACTCGTCATAAAGAAAGCCAATAATATTACATGTTCTATTTTTAAGAGACTGTTCAATGAGCAATCAAAGATCAGAATTTTGCTTTACTTCTATGCCATTTCTCAAGGATTAGATTAGGCCCATCGAGAATACACTAGTTTTGTGTGACCTTTGTAATAGTGCTTATCCAAATGGGTGTGGGTTCAAAGCACACCATGTTTCTAGAACTGGTGTCTCATGCAAACACTCAGCACCCTCACTGTCCTGTGAATCTAACCTTAAATTTCAGTAGATTCTACTAAATTTCAGTGCTTTCATATGATCTCTGAACTTTCTTATTGATAGTAGTTGTTGGCCTGAAAACAGGAAACCAAGAAAAGATAGGAGGGTAATAAGTTTTGACTAATTATTGAGGATTATCTGAAACCATTAAGTAATTCATTAACCATCAAGGACTGTTCCACCATCAAGAGGAGTGTGAGTTCAATGTCATGAGTGTGTAGATTATTGCTGAGTTAATTATGCATCAGTGATGACCAGTTTATAAAGCTTTTGATCCCTGCATTCCTTTTTTTTTTTCTTTCTTTTCTTTTGTCCTAGTTAAAAAGAATCAGTTGTGAAAGATTAGAGGAAACCAAGGTTTGTATTTAAGCATATTTCAGTCAATTGTCTTATTGCAATGTCACACTGACCTTCAGCATAAATCAAAGCATAGCAACTTTTCATATTAACTGTCTTCTCACATTCTAGGGAAGAGAGAAGACTGTACCACAATTCTTTAAATATCGTGGTCTAACAGGAATATAAGGAAAGTAAGCAAGAGAACAGAGAAGACAGCATATGTAGCCAGCAGCAGAATTTCAGGAAATCCCAGCTTCTCTTGTTGGCTACCTTGGTTATAAAGTTAAAAATAAGAATACAGAAACTTTCTGGTCTCAGCATAAATACAATAGTGGTGAACTGCTTTATTTCATTAAAATGTATTATAACATCTGTTATTTACAGTAGTACATTAAAAAATTATTTTTCAACTTAGCATCTCTAAAAAAAAAAAGGAAAGAATTAATCAATCTCCTTCTTCCCACCTATAATCAAACTACTTTTCTTGCCTCCTTTTGTAAACTTTATGGTTATGACTTAAGATAGACTTACTTAAAGCAAAAAGTAGGCACCATTCATTTGGGTAAATGATGATACCTTTCCCTCCTGTAGACTTAAAATGAGAAACTTCACTAAAAGCATAGGCACTTTTTTGTGGCTTAAACTCAAGGCAGAAGCTAGACTAATCAGACTGTGAGATGGACTATAGGGGATATAAATTTAATGGGTTTTTCCATTTTTCTCTGGGGGAGAAAGGCAGCAGAAGTTGAGGGAGATGTTTATGGAAACTATAATAGAATCAGTTTTGAGTAAGTTGAAAGTTCTGAGCTCAAATGTGAAGAAAAGCTTAGAACTATGGGCAAAGAAATTCTTCTGCTACTCAGTTCCTCAAGGGATCAAGTAAATAAAGCTTAAATCAAGGAAGTAGAGCTTTATGTTGTGCACTATTTGTAAATTAACAGGATTATATTGAGTACGTAACCAGTTTCCTCCAGAATTATCTTTCAGAACCATAAAAACTGCTTTTCTAATAAAAAAGATGCTAAAAAAATCTCAACTTCCTGATCACTTTTGTGGAAATATATATATATATATATAAATGTGCAGGCATCAGTCTATATCCTTTTATTACGATTCATAAGTGTGCTCATGTTAAAAGAGTAAATGACAGAATATTTAAGGAAAGGGATGGGTTTTTTTCAGGGCTTTCTGTATTATTCCTGAAATCATTAACTCAATTGCTTTTGCAAAACCTTATTTGCCAATGATGAGTGGGAAACTAGATACCTGATTGCCACCGTAACATCTGGAAAGGCAGCAGCTGGAAGAACAAGTATTTTGTTTGTTAACTGAGCAAATTTACTCTGCACTTTGAAATATATAAATCCATCTTGGTATCTGAATGATGCTACCATAACTTAATTAATGCCACCAGACCAATGACACCTATTAAGGATCTGCTCCAATTTTTTTGGTATAAACCAAATAATTTGTACTTTGAAAAAAAGAGCACTGGTAACTTATCTATTCCTTTGTTTCTTGCAGGACACTTTTAAAATTGTATGCCCTGATTTTAAAAAAGTTATAAATACTTTTGACTTTTCTGCTTTTGGAATGTTTGGGCTTTTTTTTTTCTCTTTCTTCTTTTAAACAGATTTTATAGGTAAATCAGGTCAGAATCATAGAATTATTTAGGTTGGAAAAGACCTCTAAGATCAGCTAGTTGGATTATCTAAATCAACTGTTAACCTAGCACTGCCAAATTACCACTAAACCACGTCCCTAAGAGCCACATCTACGTGTCTTTTAAATATCTCCAGGGATGGCAACTCAACCGCTTCCCTGGGCAACCAAATAGGGAAACTCTTTCTAAGTGTATGCATTGCAAAAAAATGATCAATGGGGAAAGTGTTTTTCTTCCATCTCTGTTCTTTCAATTATACTTTCAGACAAGCATATATTTTGACTTGGTCAATAATCACCGGAATGAAGAATTTATATTTCTATTATTTATCCCTCTAAGAATTTGAGAGTTTCATAGAAATTAACTACATAAGGTTATTGGAGTATTCATATCGACAAGCCTTTTGTGATAAAACATTTCAGCATGGTTAGGGATGAAACACTTCTTTTTTCTTTTCTGTGGCTTTTCTACCACTCGACTTTTTTTTTTTTTTTTTCCCTTCCAATAATTCAATTTCTGCAAGTAAACCTTTTAATTTTTTCCCCTTTATTTTCAGATGATGTGGAAACCTGCATATGACTTTCTCTACACATGGGCTGCCCATTATGGAGACGGTTACAGGGATGTCTTACAAGACCTGCAGTCAGCCTTGGACAAAATGAAAAACCCAGTAACAAAACAGTGGCGAGAGTTAACAGGAACACTCATTCTTGTGAACTGCATGGAGGTGTTAAGGGCAAGTGCTTTCTCCAAAATGGAGGAAGAAGAGTAGACAACCTAGATACATTTTTGGAAAATCTCTTGGAAAACTGTACTGCTGATATTTGTGTTTTAGTGATGCTTGCAGAGCGTGATGGAATGAAGTTTGTTTTAACTGAGTTGATGTTGGGTATGTGGTTCTCAACTACAGGTTGCCAGAGCTTGCTAATGGCTTCTGAATAAATAAGAAAAGAATGGGGGATTAAACTAAGGCGGTCAATAAAAGTGACTTGAATTCTATAGGGTATTTTCTAGAAGAAGATATTTCTGATTGCACTGGCGTCTAGCTGGAGATCAGTTTTAAAAACAGACCTATAGATGAGTTCAACCTGTGGGGCTTAGGTTTACATTGTTTTCAGAGAAGTATTTAAATCTAAATATTTAATAAATTATTTTATTTGGTGCTCAAACCTGTCAAATCTAAGTCAGTGGGTGCAGGCTAACCTAGAAAAAAAACTTTAAGACTTTTTTCATCCTCAACTGGTAGAAAATTAATCTAATTTTCCCACAAATCAGGAACTCAACAGTTCCTGGAAAAATATATGTGTGTTACACAGTCCTTCTGAAACAGCTTCTGGTGTCTATTTTGAAAACTGGAAGAGAGACAGAACACATAATGAATGTCAAAAGTGTTTGGTTTTGATCTATTTGTTAATGTAACTAAACAGGTTCATCTTTCTTTTTGTTTGCAGGTTTATATTTAAGCAATTCTTTTCTAGATTTTGCTGAGTGGAAATTTCAGAAAAATTGGGAAGCCCTGTTTGTGTACACTGTCCGTCCCTCTGATCATTTGCTTGTTCCTTCTCTGTTGCTATTAAATATGTAGGGAAGATAGAATTTGTAGGTTCAAAGGCTGTAAAAAATTCATACTCGCTTCTGTTTATCATTTTCTTCTACCTTACTGGAGACAGAATATGGGTGATGACTACTATTTTCACAAAAAAATTTAACAGTGGGATGCTTTTCAGATTAATTTATTTATGGAGCAATTAATTATCATTAGTCATATGTTCTAAAAAGAATTCTATTTAGATGCTACCAGTAAAAATCCTTCAAATACTGAGTGGCTTGTTGTAAGTACAGAAAATACAGGTTAAGTAATAGTTACAGGCTAACCAAATTTTTTAACACATTTTTTGTAACATAAGATGTTAAATATATTTTTAGTTAAGTGGTAGATCTAAAAGGTTAAAGCCATTTTGAGCACATTTGATCAACATTCATTCAGAAACATCAGCAAAAACTCATAACAACTAGTTGAAAAGAAAATTGGCATTCTGCCATCACTTGCGGTTCACAAGACATAGCCAAATTCTTTCAGAAGTACCACAAAGTTAAAGCATTTCAGTTCAGAATCTGTTCTGCTGTCTTAGCTCATCTCTACTAAGAAGGGAGGTTTTGTGATTCTAAAAACTCCAGCACATTTAAATATTTTTCTTTCCCTCTCCTATCCTTTAACCTGCTTTCTTCCCTACTTGCATTAAGCTTTCCCAAAGCATCCATAGCTCAGGAAGGAGGCTGAAGAAAGAATACTTGCTCTTTTGCTAGGTAAGTTCACTCACCAGAAGGCCTTTTAACATCAGGGCATGACTGAATTAACATGTGTACAAGTTATCTGGCTCCAGTGGACTTGCCCTTGATTTGCAAGAGAATGAGGAATTCAGCCCACAGAACAGTCATTGTTTTTGCTGATCAAGGAAGGGTGGAAAAAAAGGAGTCAGATTATCAAAGTTCCCTGTTGTTTCAGGTGCCAGCACCACTTTTATATCTTACCCCACACAGTTTTAATAAAGCTGTAGAGAAAATATGAAAGAACATTCTCTTGTGATCTGCACTTCAGTGCAGAGATCAACTTGTCCTTCCTTCTTGCAGGTAGTGAAGCCCCCAAAAGGTGAGAAAGTATCTGCCTTCTTACTCTTGTTCTACTAGGTAAGGAAAAGGTGCATACTAGTTCCTTTTAAAATAGACTTCTTTAAAGGTAAAATGATACATTCAAATATTAAAATAATAAATATTAAAAACCACTGCAAACTCCCAGGGAAATTTTTTATGTTTCCCAGACTGCTTCTGCTTTCACCTTAGACCCTGTTCATAGCAGACTGTGAAGCCTGAACAGGATTTTGTGGTGGTGCGACACATCACACATCATCTCCCTAGTTAAAAACTCAAGGAAATACAGAGCTGAAATACAAGCAGACATCACAGATCAAATCTTTCTGCTTCACTATGTTTTCTCATCAGCTGATTTCCATACATCCCAGTAGACCATGTTCCCTTGCTTAAAGCCCTGCTAAGTCATTTTAAAGTTTGTGGTGGTTTTTTTTTTTTTATTTTTTTTTTTTTATTTAAAACCTGTCTGCAACAGCTAAGCAGCATAGCTTAGGTCTGCTTCTGAAGATGGATCTTGGCTTCCATCCTTTTTTTGTACATCTTAATTTCTTATCTTTAGCAAATGCACATTTACTTTCTTTTTCAACAAGACATGTAGTAATTTCTTAGTTCAGTCCTGTATTTTCCTCTTATTAATACAAGTCAAAAGAGGGGGAAAAACTACCAGAAGCATGAATTTCTAATTGTGTGAGTCTACCAAACCCCAAATATGACAGACAAGCTGCCCAAAGTCTTTGAGGCTGAAGGACAATCCATCCTGAGAAGGAAGTCAGGGATCAAGGACTTGGGAAGAGAAGTTTTTAGGGACCAGAGGCTGCTGCCTGTGACACTCATGGCCGGTCCCTTTCATTGCTCTGAAACAAAGTTGTATCTGTCTTGAACAAGAGTTGAATTTGGCCCAGTAAATTTATCAAATATTGACTCAGTGAGTCAGTGTTCTCCTTAGCTTGCAGAATTATGCAACTGGTCCTCCAAGTACGTTTCTTTAAAAGGAAATTTATGCCCGGCTGTAGTTGTGCCGTATTCCAGGGTCTTTGCTGGTTTGGGTTGCTAATTGCGCTCCTGTTTTTGCTCTGAGCTTCTGCTCATATGAATGAAATGTGCACTCGTGCAATATTCTGTTTACTTTAGCAGCCCACAGTGGATATATTAAAAAAAGAAAAAGCATTAAACCCCCATATTTTATTTAGTGGTCTGGTATTCAAAACCACAAAATGCTAGCTGAGAGTGGAAGCAGCTGCACTCAGCAGCAACACACAGCTAGAAGCACATGGCTTAGGTAAACACACTCTGTTCTTGACCTTTTCTCCTTTCCTCCCACCCTGTCAAGAGGGAACAGCTTTCCCATGGGTCTGCACACATACTTTCTTGGGTTTCTTCAAAGTGAGATGAGATTAACAACTGCTCAGGAGGAGACAAGGAAAAATACCAGCCGCTGGTCTTTGCCTTAAATGACCCTCTGTTTCCAAGTTTCCGTATTTCTTTGTGTAGAAAAGAGCTGTGTCAGCTAGTTCCATTTCCCTTTGAATGTGTAGGCAGAAAAAACCCCCACCTTTCAACCACCCTTTTATCCTCTGAATAGGTGTTTCTTAAGTAAATGAGCAAATTAAAAAGTTGTGAGTGCATCCATTGCTTTACAATTCCATCTACCCGTGAAAGCTGGAAAAATGGTTCCCTTGGATGAGTCTGCTTCTGACTGGGACAGACACCTTCCACAATGGGCAGTAGCAAGGAAGGCTTAGCTGTCACTCATACTAGAAATGCTGGTTTTCAGTGAAGTTGGAAGCCATTCCTATTACAGTAAAGAGGCATCTGAGCTCCACACCCTTTAACGACATATATTTTTGAATTAATAATAGTCAAGATTAGAGAGAAAAGACAAATTATTTCTCCCCTCAGAAGTTCCAGTCCTCCAGTTGGCTTTGGGGAAGGGTTGAGTTCCTTAGGTTTCACTTGTTTCTTTTGGAAAGCAGAGGTTTAGAAAAGGAAAAGAAAGGTTCTTTTAAAGTGTAAGTAAAGGGCAACTCCCAAAACCAGCCTCCAGGCAGTAGTCTGGATGCCAAGACTGAGCTGCATGTTATGGGGCCTTCTTTGTGAAATTGTCCAGGGAAGAAAAGGGGAGGAGGCATCAGCCATCCTTCCTACTGAGAGCAGAAAAATGTGCAAGTGTTTATAAAGCAATGTTTTTGTGAAAAAGACTGATTTTTCACAAATTCTTCCTGTAAACCTAAGCTCTGTGGAAAACAAACATTAAGCAGCTCCAAAGAAGCAGCTTAATTTTGTTGTGTTGAGCTGACTCTGACAACATACTCTGGACTCAGTAAGTGATCCAGCTGACAATGACCTACTGAATAATAAAGGCAATTGTTTAGAACTGCAGATGGCAATGCTGTGTTCCCAGCTAAACCCAGTGATCCTGCTTTTTCATCATCTAGTCGCTTGTTTGACTATGGACAGCTGTACCAAATAGGAATATAAAGCTATGCTGTTTTGTTGTGTTTGTGTCATAGATACAAAAATTGCTTATGAAAAGACAATGAAATTCCACCACCCCCAGGAATAGAATGTAGCAAATGGCATTCTGCACATCAGTGTGAGATCAACCATTAAATTCTCTGTCAAGGTCCTAGAACAATTGTAGATATGTAAAACAAATGTTAGTCTAGTGTGGGTGATAATCACTGTTCTTAGTAGTTCTGCTGTCAATAAGTATCTACAGACACTATGGGATATTCGAATAACCTGTGATTATTCTTAGTACAAAAAGTGACATTTTCTGTTTCTTGCCAATGTGTATATATATAATTATCTATTTTTTTAGCTTACAGTATTTATTTTTAAACAAAATAAAAAAAAATTGTATTGTCCACTGGAATCCTTAGTGAATTTTAATTTGCTTTTGTAAGACTAAGAAGAGAAGAGGAGGATGACCATGGGGGGGGGGGAAATTGCTGTTCTGTAAATACCAGGAAATAAGCAGTATCTTTGTACACATTTCATTTAAAATCCTGTGCATTAAAAAGTTGAATGTATACTTCTTTTAGCATGTTCATAAGCAAAAGTAATTTGCTTATATTGGCTCCAAAACCAGAATGAGTTCATTCATGAGAAGAGGGCAGTCTG